CTCTCTCTCTCCCTCTCTCTCTCTTCTCTCCCCCCCCCCCTGCGCGGTAAAAATAGACTACAGAAGAAAACGAATGTGTTTTTCTCACTTGATAAGTATTTGAAATGCATTTACCAATATCAGAGAGAGAATATAGTCAGCATTTAGAAGAAAAGGGATGTTAGTAAATACATCTGATCCATTTAGGGAAAGAAGTTAAATAGAAAGGGGTGAGAGGGGAAGAGAGACAAAGAGAGAGACAGAATATACAAAAGACAGAGATGTTATAAGGAAAGAGGTGGAGAAAGAGAAAGGGACAGTTAGATGGCAGGGCTGGGGGGGGGGAGCAGGGGGGGGGGCAGGGATAGAAGGTCGAGATATCAAAAGAGACGCAGAATTGTATGCCTTCCAAGTAAACTGTTTACCAAGTAGAAAGGCCCAATGACATATTATAGACAGGCAGACGGACGGAAAAGTTTGAGAAACTGATGAACAAATGGGTGAACAGAAACAAAAGGAAAGAAGTTTATAATGCAAAACAATTCTAGAACATGTTCAAGAACATTTGTGCAAGACCGTTTGTTTTGTTGTTTTGTTTTTGTTTTTTTTGTTTTTTTCAAAAGTAATCGCAATCAGTTCGTCCCGCTCTACGTGTGCAGTTTGTGCTACGTTTTAATCATTGTCGATCGTTCAGTCAAGGTGGATTCAAATTTTCATTTTTGGAAATTGTTTTATTGGTAGTGAACGTTTAACTATAGACGTAGATCTAAAAGCTTACAACATTTCTCCACGTATTCTAAGAATATTATCCCACAAAGCGTCAAACCTATTCAAACCAATATTTTTTTAAAGAGAGAGAGAGAGAGAGAAAGAGAGAGAGAGAGAGAGAGAGAGAAAGAGAGAGAGAGAGAGAGAAGGGGGGGGAGAGGGAGAGAGAGAGGGTGGGGGGAGCGAGAGATAGAGAGAGGGAACAACAAATAAAAAATATGCTTAGAGAGTCTGGAATATGCTCGCACTTTCGACTGGACTGGCAGTTTCTTGAGTAGTTGGATGTGTGTGAGTCATTGAGTTGCAAGAATAGAAACTGTTTAGCCAAGCAGCACGCTCACACAAACAGGAAAGGCACGCGCTCTCCCTCAGGAATGCGTACCGGTGATGCACGTCACACATTATAACACACC